AAAGATCAGCCCTGAGCTAACATCCAATGCCAATCCTCCTCTTTTTGCCAAGGAAGATTGGCCCTGGGCTAACATCTGTGCCCATCTTCCTCTACTTTATATGGGACGCCACCATAGCATGGCTTGACAAGTGGTGCATTGGTGTGCACCCAGGATCTGAACCTGAGAACCCCGGGCCGCCAAGCGGAGCGTGCGCACTTAACCGCTAAGCCACCGGGCTGGCCCCTAGTTAGGATTTTTCATATGGACAATCATGTTGTCTGTAAACAAAGACAGTTTTTTCCCTTCTCAATTTTTATACCTTTTCTTTTCTTATTGCATTATCTAGGACTTCAAGTATGATGTTCAATAGGAATAGTGAAGTGATGTCTTTGTCTTGTTCCTGATCTTAACAAGAAAGCATCTAGTTTCTCACCAATAAGTGTGATGTTAGCTGTAGGTTTGTTGTAGATGTTCTTTATCAAGCTGAGGAAGTTCCCCTCTATTCCTAATATGCCAAAGTTTTTTATCATGAATGGATGTTGTATTTTGTCAAATGCTTTTTCTGCATCTATTGATATGATCATATGATTTTTCTTCTTTAGCCTATTGATGTAATGTGGTAATGGCCTTGCATACCTGGAATGAATCCCACTTGGTCATGGTGTATAATTCCTTTTATTTTTTTATTTTATTTTATTTTTTTTAAGATTTTATTTATTTATTTTCCCCCCAAAGCCCCAGTAGATAGTTGTATGTCATAGTTGCACATCCTTCTAGTTGCTGTATGTGGGACGTGGCCTCAGCATGGCCGGAGAAGCGGTGCGTCGGTGCGCGCCCGGGATCTGAACCCGGGCCGCCAGCAGCGGAGCGCGCACACTTAACCGCTAAGCCACGGGGCCGGCCCTATAATTTCTTTTATACATTGTTGGATTTGATTTGCTAATATTTTGTTGGGAATTTTTGCATCATGTTCATAAGAGATATTGGTCTGTAGTTTTCCTTTCTTGTAATGTTTCTGTCTGGTTTTGTTACTAGGGTAATGCTGGCCTCACAGAATGTATTAGAAAGTGTTCCCTTTGCTTCTGTGTTCTGGAAGAGATTGTAAAGAATTGGTGTAATTTCTTCCGTAAATGTTTGGTAGAATTCACCAGTGAACTCATTTGGGCCTGGTGCTTTCTACTTTGAAAGGTTAATTGTGGATTCAATTTCTTTAATAAATGTTGGCCTATTCAGATTGTCTGTTTCTCCTTGTGTGGCTTTTGGCAAGTTGTGTCTTTCAAAGAATTGATCCATTTCATATAGGTTATCAAATTTATGGGCACAGAGTTCTTTGTAATATTTGTTTATTATCCTTTTAGTATCCGTGGAATCAGTAGTACTGGCCCCTCTTTCATTTCTGATATTAGTCATTTGTGTCTTCTTTCTCTTTTTTTCTCAGTTAGCCTAGCCAGAAAGCTTATTGATTTTATTGATCTTTTCAAACAACCAGCTTTTAGTTTCTTTGATTTTTCTCCTTTGATTTCCTGTTTTCAATTTCATTGATTTCTGTTCTGATTTTTATTATTTCTTTTCTTCTGCTTACTTTGGATTTAATTTGTTTTTCTTGTCCTAGTTTCTTAAGGGGGAAGCTTAGATTATCGATTCCAGATCTTTCTAATATATGCATTCAATGCTATAAATTTTGCTTTAAGCACTGTTTTTGCTGCATCTCACAAATTTTGATAAGTTGTATTTTCATTTTCATTTAGTTCAAAATATTTTTAAATTTCTCTTGAGACTTCTTATTTGACCCATTTGTTATTTAGAAGTGTGTTGTTTAATTTCCAAGTTTTGGGGCTTTCCAACTATCCTTCTGTTACTGATTTCTATTTTAACTCCATTGGGGTCTGAGACCATACTTTGTATGATTTCTATTCTTTTACATTTGTTAAGGTGTGTTTTATGACCCAGAACGTGTTCTATCTTGGTAAATATTCCATGTGAGCATGAGAAGACTGTATATTCTGCTATTGTTGGATGAAGTGTTCTATAAATGTTAATTAGATCCAATTGATTGATGGTGCTGTTCAGTTTAATTATGGCCTTATTGATTTTCTGTCTGCTGAATCTATCAATTACTGATAGAGGGGTGTTGACATCTCCAGTTACCATAGTGGATTTGTCTAGTTCTCCTTGCAGTTCTATCAGTTTTTGTCTTACATATTTTGATGCTCTGTTGTTACCCATATGCATATTAGGGATTGTTATGTCTCCTTAGAGAATTAACCACTTTATCATCATGTAATGTTTCTCTTTTTCCTTGATAATTTTTCTTGCTCTGAATTCAGCTTTCTCTGAAATTAATATAGCTGCTCAGCTTTCATTTGATTAGTGTTAGTTAATATGCTATATCTTTCTCCATTCCTTTGGCTTTTAACCTATCTGTCTTTATATTTAAAGTAGGATTTTTGTAGACAACATATAGCTGAGTTTTATTTTTTTATCCACTCTGACAATCCCTGCCTTTTAATTTGTATATTTAGATTGTTGATATTTAAAGTGATTATTGATATAGTTTGATTGATAGCTACCATATTTATTCCTGTTTCCAATTTGTTGCCCTTGTTCTTTGTTTCTTTTTTTGTCTTGTACTCTTTTTCTGCCTTCTCTGGGTTTTTTTTGTTTTTTTGGGTTTTTTTTGCTGAGGAGGATTCACCCTGAGCTAACATCTACTGCCGATCTTCCACTTTTTGTATGTGAGCCACTGCTATGGCATGGCTGCTGACAGATGAATGGTGTAGGTCCACGCCCAGGAACTGAACCTGGGCTGCTGAAGTGGAGTGTGCCGAACTTAACCACTAGGCGACCGGGGTTGGCCCATGCCTTCTCTGGTTTTAATTGAGCATTTTATATGATTATATTTTCTCTCCTCTTGTAGTGTATCAAGCATACTTTTTTACTTTTTTTTTACTCTTTTTTTTTTTGGTTGCCCTATAGTTTTCAGTGAACATTACACTTTAAATAATGTTATTCTACTAAATGAAATCTCCCATAATCTCTCATGAGCTTCAGAGACAAAGTCATGTAGAGGGAAGGGACCTGCCTCAAACACACAGCCTACCCTCTACCCCCATTTGAGTCTGCAGGTGGTAGGAGGATAAAGAATTAAGCTGAAATCTTCCAAAGAGTGTAACTGAATGTCCCACAGTCTTTCATGGTTGAGGAGATAGAGACCTGTCAGGACCACATTTGAGAAATGGAAAAACTAGAAGTGGACAAACCATGTATGGATTACTAAAAATGCAATCCACATTTGACCCAGCTTAATCTCTGACTGGATTGACGTGATCAGCCCCTCACCCTACCTGACTAAAAGAGGAAGGGTAAAAATTCCTGGAGCTATACACTTAAGATTTGTTGTGGGGCCGGCCCGGTGGTGCAAGCAGTTAAGTGCGCACACTCTGCTGCAGTGGCCCGGGGTTTGCTGGTTCGGATCCCAGGCGCGCACCGATACACTGCTTGTGGAGCCATGCTGTGGCAGCGTCCCATATAAAGTAGAGGAAGATGGGCATGGATGTTAGCGCAGTGCCAGTCTTCCTCAAAAAAAACAGGACTGGCATCAGATATTAGCTCAGGGCTGATCTTCCTCACCAAAAATAAAAATTTGTCTACTTTAGTGGAAGAAAGTATATATATTTTATGAATTTTATATATAAAAGTATATATATAGGGGCCGGCATGGTGGCGTAGTGGTTAAGTTCACACACTCCACTTTGGCGGCCCAGGGTTCACGGGTCCAGATCCCGGGCGCAGACCTACACTACTCATCAAGCCATGCTGTGGAGGCAACCCCCATACAAAATAGAGGAAGACTGGCACAGATGTTAGCTCTGGCACAATCTTCCTCAAGCAAAAAAAAGAGGAAGATTGGCAATAGATGTTAGTTCAAGGCCAATCTTCCTCACCAAAAAAAAAAGAATATATGTGGGTATATATATATATATATATATATATATATATATATATATATAATGAATTTTATAAATACATAGTTTGAGATCCTGTTATAAAACAATTTTTCACATTTGAACTATGACCCTATATATGTATGTATGTGTGTGTATATATGTATATGTACTATATATTATATATATATAATTTTTAGTCAGGAGAAAATTGTGCAAAACTAATGTTGTCTTTAAGGCTTTATAGACTGAACAATTTATGATAACATCTATTTTCTTATCTAACTTAATATTATCAGCAGACAAGTTTGAACTGTCTTCTGATAGAGGACCAAGAATTTTTTTCTCTACTTTCCATTTGGTGCAGGGCACTAAAATTTAGAAGACCAATTATATAGAATTCTTACAAAATTTAAACATGGATTTTTGATTAATAAAAGCTAGTTAGGGGCCGGCCCTGTGGCTTGGTGGTTAAGTGCGCGCGCTGCAATGCTGGTGGCCCGGGTTCGGATCCCGGGTGCGCATCGAGGCACCACTTCTCCGTCCATCCTGAGGCCGAGTCCCACATACAGCAACTAGAAGGATGTGCAGCTATGACATACAACTATCTACTGGGGCTTTAGGGGGAAAAAATAAAATAAATAAAATCTTTAAAAAAAAATAAAAGCTAGTTAGGAAAGGTCATCAGGTGTTAAACTCAGATTGACCAATCACAATTTTTTGTCCCTGAATTTACCTGTAAGATAGTACTCAATATATAAATCATATATTTGAGGATTTATTTAAACTTCTACTTTATGAATAACAAATCACTTGGCTTTTATAATATATTGTGTAGAAAGGAAACATAGTTTGGTATCATTTTCTCCAGTTATCATGTAAGCTATACTTATTGGGTGTCCATAAGAAATTAAATCTTAAAATATTTTCTAATTTAAAATTAATTATTTGAGCTTTATTCACTTGACCTATTTCATAAATAATAAATATTCAGCAACTATTTTAACATGATACAGTGAGAAGTAGTGAACTGATACATACAGAATGTCAAAGAGTAATATGTATTTTTTATAGGCAGAGCTTCTAGATGCTGCTGCTGGCATTCATGTACGATTCAGACTAGGTGGTGTAAGTATGGATGAATTGTTATTTAGTAGTTTTAAAGCATATTTATATGAAATTTAAAAGACATAATTTTTTAAAAATGTAAACCATTTTTGTATTAGATTACAATGGTCTTTTGAACTTTTCCATCTACAGGTTAAATTTCCACCTGAAATATACTATAAGATTTTCACTCACAGACATGTTGAAGATCTGTGTGCTAATAGCCCTAGAGATTACACAAAACTTCCCGTAAAACATACATCTCATATTAAAAGCGATAATCTTCAGGAAGAGGATCAAAGTGGCTGGTATCGTCGTATAGAGAACAATGGCTGGAGGCCTGTTTCTGATAGAGTAAGAAAAGACAAGTATTAGTCAATATTTTGAATTTTATTCAAATAATTTTGAATTTTACATATTTGGAAATCCATTTGTCTTTTTGAAAATTAATTTTAAAATTATTTTAAAAATAATAAATCTTAGTAATTTGGCTGATAAATATTGCTTAAATTAACTAGTCTGGGGTTACTAATAATACTTCAAGATACAGCAATATATCTTTTTTTTCTTACATTTACTTCTACTTTTAGTAATCAGCTTTGATTTAGCCCATTTTTAGATACTCTCTGGTATCAGCAGTTTACTCTCTTTGTAACAAAGCAAATTTGAAGATGTTGTTGACCCTACATTAATCCTTGGAGTAGAGGTGGAAGTTCTTGAGAATAATATGACATTTTCTCTTATATAGAGCTTGTAACAGCAGAGACTAGTGGGAAATCATCTGGATTTTCATGGTGTTGGGGAAATTAACATGTACTCATATGAACTGAACAGAATGATTTTGAATATACATAGTTCCTAATGCGTATATGTGATTCAGGATCTTTTCTATAGACACCAAGGTTTAATCTCCTTTTTGTAGAGATAATTTCTACTTAAGGATATTTGTAAGCTTACACTTTATAGGTTAACACGGTCTCATTCTATAGCTCTAGATGTCTGTTTTTATGACCTCAAGTATCTTCATTCACATCCTCAATCTCTGGTATACAGATTGTAGATTGTGGTATGTTGAGTATACTAAGTATGAAAAGTGAAATGATCAAGGTGTGAATGCATTCATTTATTCAACAAACTTTATTGCATACCAACCATGTGTGAGGCATTGTACTATATGGTAGGGATACAATGGTGAGTAAGAATAGTCCTTCCCCTCAAGTAGTTTGCCTTTTAATTAGGGAGACAGTCAAGTAAACAGGATATTTCAGTACATTGCAGTAAATATATGCTTTAATTGGGGCAAATATAGAGTGTTATGGGGGGTAGCAAACTCTCCTCCTTGTTATTTAATGTGTAGGTGGTGGGGGAGGGAGAATGAATCGGACGTAGGAAAATAGGCAACCAGTTAGGATAAAGTGTCATACAGGGGAAAGCACACTCTTGGGACAAAATGGTGAGACTTCTGTGTTCTTGGAGGGTGCCTATACTCCTTGAGGATTAGAGTCTTCAAAAGTCAACAGTACTAAAAGTAGGTCAGATCTGTTCTTATGAGAAACTAAAACACTCTTAGAATATGTCTGTTAATTTAGTCATTCAGCAAATACATATTAAGTACCTCAGTACACTAGTACTTTGTCAGTCTTTCTGTGGCATGTGCCTCTGAAGGCTCATTGTGCTATTCTCCCATCACTTAATTAGAAATACCTTAAAAGGGTCTATCCTCTCCTCTATTTCTATCTTGGCATATTCCTACTGAACACACAAAAGTTTTTGTCTATAGCCAGACAACCTCACAATCAGTATTTCAACATTTTGTATATTCATTTTTCATTTCTCAATAGTTTTGGATGTCTACTGAAAATGTAATGGTGGGAGACAAAAAGGAAAGTGAATTCCATTTCTCTAAGCTGAAGAGAAGGCAAGATATGGAAAAGAAAAGAAAAATTAGAAAAATAGAGTGGATGAGGCAAATGTAAGTTGATGAAATACTTAAACTTACTAATGAAGTATACAGTATTTTAAGTTTTTAAAAAATTGCTATCCTACTAAAATAACTACATGTTATTTTTAAAAGAAAATGTAAGATTACAGTTATAATTTTAAAAATACATAGAAAGCAAACAATAAAAAAAAATGCCTACTATGTGCCAAACACTGTTAGTCTCCAGGATATTAGTGGGAAAAGACATGTCTTTGACCCTGAGGAAATTACAATCTATTGGAACATCAGATATGAAAATAAGCATTCACTCTTACATATCAGATAACTTTCATGTGGCCCTACAGACCCACTCTATACCCTTCTCAACCCTTCTTTCTGCCCTAAGAGACTGACCCATATGGATTACATTAAAAGTTATTCTTTTTTTTTTTTTTTGTGAGGAAGATCAGCCCTGAGCTAACATTCATGCTAATCCTCCTCTTTTTGCTGAGGAAGACCGGCTCTGAGCTAACATCTATTGCCAATCCTCCTCCTTTTTTTTTTTTTCCCCAAAGCCCCAGCAGATAGTTGTATGTCATAGTTGCACATCCTTCTAGTTGCTGTATGTGGGGCACGGCCTCAGCATGGCCGGAGAAGCGGTGCGTCAGTGCGCGCCCGGGATCTGAACCCGGGCCACCAGTAGCGGAGCGCGCGCACTTAACCACTGAGCCACGGGGCCACCCCTGAAAGATATTCTGAACCTATCTAACAAATGTTAAAAGCAAGTCTCAAAAAATCAAATTGTTTCTAGGTTTACTTGAATACATACCAGAACAAAGCCTCAAAATATTTAAAGGAATATTAAAAAACTCCAGTAACCAAAAATCATATAAAATTCACAGTGTCTACCATATAGTAATCAATTACCAGGCATGTAAAGAAGCAGGAAAATAGATCCCATATGAGACGAAAAATTAATCATTAGCAACAGACCTACCAAAAATATCTTTTAAAAATGAGGATGAAAGAAATACTTTTCAGACAAACAAAAGCTAAGTTCTCTCATCATGTTGACCAGCACTATGAGAAATGTTAAAGGAATTCCTCAGGCAGAAGAAAAATGATTCTATGTAAAAATCTGGATCCATACAAGGAATGAAGAACACCAAAAATGATAACTATGTAAGTAAATATAAAGGATGTTGCTTCTTACTATTTAAATATTTTTAAAAGGTAATTAACTACTAAACTGTACATTTAAAAGTAGTTAAGGTGGTAAATTTTATGTTACCTGTTTTTTACCACAATTTTTAAAAAGATAGGTATTAAAAATTTTTATTGTAAAGGAATGAGTTAACATTGATATTGCCAATCAAGTTTTACTTAAATTCTTGATTCCACATTGTTCTCTTTTTCTCTTGCATTGAAAATCTTCATTTCAAACAAAATATAATTGCTTATTTTTTCTGACATTGCAAGTAAATAGTTCCATAAATAACAGTATAAAATCAACACATGTGATGCAATTTCTGAATAAAGTTCAACAATTTTTTTTAAAAGGCAATCTACTATTTAAAGCAGAAACAATGACAGTGTATTATGGCATTTATAAAGTTATAACAGTGCAGAAGTAAGATGTATGATGACAATATCACAAAGGTTGAGAGAGGTGAAATGGAAGTGTACTGCTGGAAGGTCCTTATACAACACATGAAGTGGTATAATATTGCTTAAAGGTAGAGCGTGATAGTTAAAGATGTATGCTACAAATCTTAAAACAACCATGATATCAACAATAAAAATAGTAAAGCTGTAAACCTAATAAACTAATAATGGAGATAAAAGAGAATCATAAAAACAATCCAAGAGAAGGCTGAAAAAAGGGGAAAAGAAACAAGGAACAGACAGGACAAATATTATGATGTAGATTAAAACCAACCATATCAATAATCATATTAAATGTAAATGGTCTAAGCACCTCAAATAAAGGCAGAGATTGATAGACTGGATAAGAAAGCAGACCCAACTACATGTTATATACAAGAACTAACTTTAAATGTAAAGCACAAATAGATTAAAAGTAAAACCATGGAAAGAATCATGCTAACAGTAATCAAAAGAAAGCTGGAGTGACTATATTAATATCAAACAAAGTAGATTTCAGAGCAAAGTATATTTCCAGACATAAAAGGGGTCATGTAAAATAATAAAGGGATAAATTCATCAAGAGGACATAACAATCTTAAATGATTGTTTGTGTAATAACAGAGTTTCAAAATACATGAAACAAAAACTTCTAGTACTAAAAGGAGAAATAGACGAATCCAAAATTATAATCAGAGATTTCAAAAACCTTTTGTTAGTAATTGATATAACAAGTGGACGATAATTAATAATATAGAAGACTTGAGCAACACTATCAACCAACTTGACATAATTAGCATTTATAGAGCACTGCAGCCAACAACAGATAACACATTCTTTTCAAGTGGACATGAAACATTCAGCAAGATACACCATATTCTGGGCCATAAAACAAACATCCACAAATTTAAGAGAATTAAAATCATACAAAGGAAGTTCTCGATCACAATGGAATTCAAAAGAAATTAAAAACAGAATAGAATTAATAACAGAAAAATTTCTGGAAAACCTCCAAATATTTGGATATTAAATTGCATACCTCTAAGTAATCCTTGAGTCAAAGAAGTCAAATGGGAAATTTGAAAATATTTTTCATTTAATGAAAATGAAAATACAACATATCAAAAGTTGAGGATGCAGCTAAAGCTATACTTAGAGGGAAATTTATAGCATTAAATTCTTTCATTAAAAAAGAAGAAGGGGGGGCTAGCTCGGTGGCATAGTGGTTAAATTCATATGCTCTGCCTCTGCACCCCAAGTTTCATGTGTTCCGATCCTGGGCATGGACCTATGCACCGCTCATCAAGCCATGCTGTGGCAGGCATCCCACATAAAATAGAGGAAGATTGACACAGATGTTAGCTCAGGGCTAATCTTCCTCAGCAAAAAGAGGATAATTGGCAACAGGTGTTAGCTCAGAGCTAATCTTCCTCACCAAAAAAAAAAAAGGAAGAAAGAGGGGCCAGCTCTGGTGGCCTAGTGGTTAAGTTTGGCATGCTCCAGTTCGGCAGCCCAGGTTTGGTTCCCGGGTGTGGACCTATACCACTTGTTTGTCAGTGGCCATGTTGTGGCAGCGATCCACATACAAAATAGAGGAAGATTGGCAACAGATGTTAGCTTAGGGCGAATCTTCCTCAGCAAAAACAAGAAGAGAAGAAGAAGAAGAAGAAAGATCTCAAATCAATTATCTAAGCTTCCAACATAAAAACCAGTAGAAGAGGAGCAAAGCAATAGAAGGAAGGAAATAATAAAGATAACAGCAGAAATCAATGACATTACAAACAGAAAATTATCAGAGAAAATCAATGATCTCAAAACTTGTTTCCTTTGAAAAGAGCAATACAATTTATAAGCCTCTAAAAAAATTTAAAACAAGAGAGAGAACACATGCAAATCAGAAATGAAAGCAAAGATATCATTACAGATCCTACAAACATTAAGACAATATAGATATTATAACATAATGCCCATACATTTGAAAAAAAGGTGAAATAGAAAATTTTGCTGAAAATATATAAAGAACTCATGCATCTCAACAACAAAAAAACTACCAACCCAATTAAAAAATGGGCAAAAGACCTGAACAGACATTTCTCCAAAGAAGATATACAGATGGCCAACAGACACATGAAAAGATGTTCAAAATCACTAACAGGGAAATGCAAATCAAAACTACAATGAGATATCACCTCATGCCCGTCAGAATGGCTATAATTAACAAGACAGGAAACAACATGTGTTGGAGAGGATGTGGAGAGAAGGGAACTCTCATACACTGCTGGTGGGAGTGCAAAGTGGTGCAGCCACTATGGAAAACAGTATGGAGATTCCTCAAAAAATCAAGGATAGAACTACCATATGATCCAGCTATTCCACTGTTGGGTATTTACCCAAAGAACTTGAAAACACCAATTTGTAAAGGTACATGCACCCCTGTGTTCATTGCAGCGTTATTCACAATAGCCAAGACTTGGAAGCAACCTAAGTGCCCATCAAGGGACGAATGGATAAAGAAGATGTGGTATATATACACAATGGAATACTACTCAGCCATAAGAAATGATGAAATTTGTGACAACGTGGATGGACATTGAGGGTACCGTGCAAAGTGAAATAAGTCAGAGGGAGAAGGTCAAATACCGTATGATTTCCTTCATTAAGTAGTAGATAATAACAACAATAAACAAACACATAGGGACAGAGATTGGATTGGTGGTTACCAGAGGGGAAGGGGGGAGGGAGGAGGGTGAAAGGGATAATTCAGTACATGTGTGTGGTGATGGGTTGTAATTAGTATTTGGGTGGTGAACATGATGTAATCTATGCAAAAATAGAAATATAACGATGTACACCTGAAATTTTTACAATGTTATAAACCAATGTTACTGCAATAAACAAAAAATTTAAAAAAAAAAAAAAGAAAATTTTGCTGAAAGACATAAACCAAATCTCACTCAAAAAACAAACAAAAGGGATAACGTGAATAGTCTTAGATCTGTTAAAGAAACTGAATTTGTAGTTTAAAAAAATTTCCACAAAGAAAACTCCAGACCTTATGAATTCCCTGGTGAATTCTAGCGGGCATTTAAGAAAGACATAATAGGGGCCGGTCACGTGGCTTAGCGGTTAAGTGCACGCGCTCCGTTGCTGGCGGCCCAGGTTCGGATCCCGGGTGCGCACCGACGCACCGCTTCTCCGGCCATGCTGAGGCCACGTCCCACATACAGCAACTAGAAGGATGTGCAGCTGTGACATACAACTGTCTACTGGGGCTTTGGGGGAAAAAATAAATAAATAAAATTATAAAAAAAAAAGTAATAAAAATTCTGCATAAATATTTCCAGAAATAGAATAAGAAAAAAAAAAGATATTGTAAGAAAATAACGACCAATATCTCTCATGAACAT